AAGGGGAAGTATGATCCTTAAGCTGGCCTGGATTAGCTCTACAAAATAGAAAACAGCCTCCACAGCCACTTAAAGAGGGGTTGGGGCTGACTCTGAATTGAAATGCAGGGGTGTGCAGTGAGTGAAGGGAGACATTCAAAGTGGAGTCTCCACCCTGCTGTCTCTGTGGAATTCCAGCAATGAATGGACAGAAAGAGGGTTAAGTTGGGGACATGGGGCAGTATGGGTAAGAAGGAGGCAGAGCAGCCATAACTGGGCAGATGGTTCAAGACTAAAAGTTAAATCAAGTTTCCTTAGGCGTGAATCTTTGAGCTTATGTGTCAATTTAGCACGCATGCGCGCGCGCGCACACACACACACACACACACACACACACACACACACACGAGTCAGTAGAGCAGGATTAATCCTTAAAACATAATCTCGAAGTGTTGCTTGTTCTGGTTTGGGGGGACTGTATTATGCAAATCGTCAAAATATGATGCTTATCCTCTTGGAAAACAGTGGTCCTATGTAACCTTGTCTCTGTGTTATGTGTGTTGGAATGTAGTCAATCAGTTTTACATGAAGTTTTAAACATACAGGCTTATCATGTTTCTAGGCCCCTGATTTGACCAAAAAACAAGGCCACATCAATGAGATCCCAAGCTTTGTAAAAGCAGAGTTCAATTGTACTGTCAGGAATGCTTACTTTGATGAATCAGTTAACATTGTCCACAGTTCTCACCCTCGTTATAATTATTGTCCACTTACATAAACTACTTGATAAAAACTTTTTAAGACCATGCATAATTTTTCAAAATAATTCTAAAGCTGAAACAATTTCAAGGGGTAAAATAAAAAAGAAACTAGGTAAAATTTAGAGCTCACAGAGTCCAGGATAAGGCAAAGAAACTTTTTCTTTGAGTTAATCTTGTTTGTCTAAATTTTATCAATCATATATATAGATATATATATGATTATATTGAGTAACAGTTCATATGAAAGTTTAAATGCCTAAAAAAGTAAGGAAGCACTTAAAATACCAATAATGCTTTTGATAGAATTTCTTTTCATGACTTTGTCTTCAGAAAGCACACTGCAGATAGAAAACAAAACCACTTTTTCAATAATTATCAGCCTTATGCTTTTTACTCACAGGATAGCATCACTTGCGCTTTTTACTGGCAAGAAATTCCATGACAATCAGTATCATAGCAATGCTGTGATGCACAGCAATTCCACATTTTGAGGTGGATGGAAATTTCTCAGACGAAGAGAACTATCCAAGCCAGGGATTGTAGATGGAACATTGTTTCTGTGAGTCTAAGGAATTGTAAAGATTTGGATGACAAGTAGAAAATTAAGTCAATCATCCAAATGTTTGCCACTGTTACAACAAACATCAAGTCATGAAAAAAGAAAATCTTAAAAACTTTTAAATATCTTAAGACTGATTCTATACTATATATTCTATACTATATCTAGGATTCTGTATCTAGATAATTGAGATCATCCTTTTGTTTGTGTTTCCGCATGAATGATAATGTAGAGGGTGAGGTAGCCTGGACATCTATGTTGAATATAGATACAGAAGTAGATATCCATATCCATGGGCACATATATAATACTTTTAGAAGATAGGACATTTTTAAATGTTTGAAATTTTTATTTTAATATATTTTTATTGCAAAGATACTGTACAGAGGAGTTACTATTACATGAGTAAGGTAATGAGTACATTTTCTCTTGAGCATTATTACCCCCTCCTTTGTTTTTCCCCCCGACCATCCCTTCCCTCCCCACCTCCCCAACTCCTCCCTCCCCCACCAAGTGGTAAAGTTCATTTTCAACATAGTGTCTTATACATCTCATTGTTACAATGGGCCAACCTGTATCCTTATTTCAGCATTTTGTTATTTCTCTTCCCCTCCCCAAATTAGAAAAATATATATACAAGATTCAGGGCACTGGAATCAAATACAGTGAAAACAGGGGTTATTCCATGGGGGAAGAACATACAAAAGAAAAAAAAAATCACATAGTACAAGTACATTAAAAACAACAGCAAGAAAAATTATATGACATAGATTTAGATATTTTTCATCACATAATACACTGATTCTGTAATGAAAGTGATGAGCTTAAAATATAAATGAAATGGTAGAAATAGTGATGCATAACTGTAATCTCAGTATCTAGGATTCAGAAGTAGAGGATCACAAATTCAAAGCCAACCTGGGCTACACACAGATTCTGCCTCAAAGAAAAATGAAACTATATTTCATCTTCCAAATATAAGAAAAAACCAGTATGCCTGGAAAGGAGAGAGAGTGGGTGAATAAAGTCATAATATTCTATGTATGTACATGAAAATGTAACTAGGTAACTTGAGAGCTTGGGTGGGGTAGGGAGAGACTTTAGAGAACCTTGGAAGGGTGACTGATCAACGTGCACTGTACTCATGAATTGTAACATTGAATTAAAACCTCTTTATACAACTAAAGATAAATTGAATGTTTTCAAAAGTATGCCTGTTCTTATTGATCATGATTTTATAGAAATTGGTTATTTTTAAATAAAGTAACTTCTGCTCACAGAACTCTAGTGCCCCAAAGTATGATTCCTTTTTCAGCATAAATTTGACTGCTTACCACATTCAAATAGAATTTTAAATTCTAGATGTGGCGAGTTGTGACATTTGAAATGGTTTAGTGCTGCTAAGTCTTTGAAAAATTCATGAATGAATGCACACATAGGTATTAGAGTTTTCACCTAGCTGAATTGGATTCTATTTGATTGCAAACTATGTGTTTCAGTTTCATAGAAATATATCTACTGTTTGTTTTGTTCAAGTGTAGTCTCTCAAAGATTTAGAATATTTTCTGGGATTTAACTAAAACACAGATTTAACTGTTGATTCTACCTGGATACTTTTAAGTCTCTCTGAAGCCTTAAACAATTCCCAACACAGCTCATGCAACATAAGAATTTCATCAGTTGAAAACTAAGAATCATTTCTCTGGGATGTGTAAAACAAGAAGCTGACCAGCATTATTTTCTTTTTCTAATTCAGTGTCATTATTGAGAGTTATTCTTGAACTTTATGAAAACCAGATTGGGGCATGGGCATGTTCTTCATCGAATCATGTTCAAGGAATTGAAACTGAAAATCATTTAAAATGGGCAAACATGACATTGAAAATAGTCTACAGTTTTATCCTACTTCAGAGAATCTGTGACTCTGACGAGGAAGCGAAAGGTGTTAGTAGTTCTTTTTTGTTTTTATGTATTTTTCAAAAATGGAAACTAGCTTACCAGTCAGAAAAAATGAAAGATTATTTTTCTTTAGTCACTATTTTGCTGGCTTATCAGTTACAGACTTAGACCTTCATATGTATTTGCTTATGAAGCTGTGTCTTCTCTCCATTGTCCACACGAAAAAATACCAAATAGCGCCATTAAGGCCATCTCTTGCCATCCCAGAACACAGTATCAACTAAATTTCTTAGCTGCTTCTTCCAAGACTCTTTCCAAGTCCAGCAGGACTGTAAATCATTCATTCACCCATCTCTGTTTTTCTCCTTCCTGCCATTCCTTTTTATTACTGTATGCCTTTCTCAGAAATGCCTGTTTCTTCTCTCTTCTTGCTGAAATTTCCACATAGATAACAGGTATGATACATCCTTTCCAGGAGATCTCCCCAACCTCCCGCCTTTTCTATCCTCTCCTTCCTTTCTCTAAAGCAAATTTTCTGCTATCTTCACCCCTTGCCATACATGCATAGATACATACATGTGTGCCTAGGGTTCAGTCAGACTATAGATTATGCTCAAAGCTGCTACCTTAGTATACAGTCTGTGTCCTGAACAAAGATGTCAAGGTCAAAAGACAGATAGGGATGAAACTCTGTCTTCCTCTCCACTGGCCAAGGCCTGGCCTTACCTATATGAACATATCTATTTAGAAAGACATCTTTTTTTCGTCTTTTTTGACAAAGAGGCACCCTATCTAATATCAGCTCTACCCCCCTCAGATGCATGATATTTTCATTGCCTTTAGAAGAGTACAAGTTCATTCACTTATTTTATTCTCATTATTTTTGTTATGATGCCTTTCTTGCACATAGTAAGTTTTCCTTGACTATTCATTGGATTTAATGAAATTTATTTAAAAGAAAGCAAATGAAAACCTGGGAATATGGAAAGCACTACAGAGGGCTTAGCATAGTGACACTATAACTTGTCGGATTTTGAGTGTGTCCACAAAGTAATTTCATAGTAACTGTCATGCCCCATGGTCTTTTGTGGATTTTCAGAAGCCACATTTCTGATGCTGTGACAGAGCATCGCAGAGTTGAACTGAAGTCCATTTTTGGCTGTTTGTTAAAATAGGCAAAGGATAACATTAAGAACTGTCTAAAGCGGGCAGGACAAAGGTCAGAGAGAATCTCCATGGGAGATGGAGGAATATTGGGAGAAGCCAGTTGGATCAGTCTAAGGTTTGGTATATTTCCTAGAAGTCTACAGTAAGCCAAAAAGAAAGAAAGAAATGAGGGGAAACACCCCATGTTTAAGTCCTTGAAGCTAGAATTACTCTGTCTTTCCCAACACTGCACATATTATAACTTGATGTGGCCTTGCCTCTCAGAGTAAAGATTTGCTTTTGGAGGGTCTCATGGGAAATTAATATTGATTCTATTGGAATTTCACTTGAGATATGGGAACTGTCCATAAAGTGAACTTTACAGACCACAGAACAATGATGTACTCAAGATAGGTTTTATGCCTATTTAATGACATGGCCAAGTCTTCAAATTTCAAATTGCAAGTGGAAAACCATTGGCTGACCTCTCAAGAGAAAATTCTGTGCTAATACACAAAATTTCCTACTAACTATACATTTCATCATTTCAAGACTACTAAGTTTTTGTGATACATTGTTTTCCCTTCAGGATGAAACAAGATGAAACTGTGTTTGATAGTAGTTTGACAGTGTATTTCTCTCCTTTTCCTCCCCAGTCCTCTGTGATGTCAGTCTGCTTTGCTCGTTTTCATCCTAATTTGGTGGTTGGTGGGACTTACTCTGGCCAGATTGTCCTCTGGGATAATCGCAGTCATCGAAGGACACCTGTCCAGCGGACACCCTTGTCAGCTGCTGCACACACAGTGAGTCCAACTTTCATTACATCTCTTTTAGCTACCCAATTCCTGAAAGAGGAGAGCCTCCAGAAATAAGATTCACCAAGTATGAGTTCTGACAGCAAAAGCAAGTTCAAAATATCAAGTTGGAAGTGATTATATCCCAAGTTAAATTGAGATAAAAGTAAGTGAAGGAAACACTGGCTTTAGAGAAAATACTGTAATCTACAAGATCTAGCACATAGAAAAACTGTCCTCTGATGTCCCAAAGACCACTGGTGAAGAGATTAAAACTAAAAAAATGGACACAGAGGAATTTTAAGAAGAGGCTCCTGCAATTATTTCTAAAATAACACTTCACATTTATATTATGAGGTGGAAATCTATTTTCAAATAGGCCATAAAGTATAAGCACTTCATGCTTAGGGATGGTATATGGGACATTTGCCAACAGACTTTTCCTGTTTGTGATTTGAGGGAGTGCTATGACTTTAAATTCTGGAATGTGTGGTGTAAGCCTTCACATAAAGTCTACAGTGACAATATAATCCGCAGGGTTAAAAGTCAACATCTCAAAACCATTACCCATAATTTAGTAGAAGAGGTTCAGTACGGTGTTCATAAGACAACTGCTCTGTCATTTCCTTTAAGTGAATGACAGGTGTGTATAGCAATTGTTCGGAATGAGAAGACAGACATGTCTCCATCAATCCTTGCTTCCTTGACAGTCGGGGCAGCTGATGTTCTTTTTCTGAAATGCCCAATTTATGCCCAAGGATGCGGCTCTACTAGTGTTTTCCATTTCCTTAATGTGGTTGCTCCATTTATTTCATCTGCTGGCCTCAAAAGCATTCTGGCTTGAAAAAGGACTGCTAGCTGTTTTAGCTAAGAACAGGAGGAGGAAAATTCTTCCGCTCTTCTAAGTCTGACAATGGGAAATGACAAATACCAAGTCAGTCCTAATTTTGATTGATTGACACCGAAGACACATGCAGGTGAAGCCTAGTTCTTGGGAATCTTGAGAAATTACTCTTACCCACCCTATTTCTTCAACCTAATAACAGAAAATTGTGGCCCAGGAGAAGTTGGACAGAAAACAGGTGTTTTCTCAGCTAGGGAGAAAGCATTTCTTGGCCCCATGTGTATCTCTGGTGCATTTGTGAACATACCTTCTGAAAATTTCAAAACTGTAAATCCAAATGTTCGAATATTTAGCAATAAGCTAGAGAGGGACATCCAAATGCAGGAATGCTTCCAAAAAGTTAACAATTCTTACTCCGGTAACTTAGAGTGTGGCTGTCATAATAAAATGCTGCTATTGTCAAGCTAAATGCTGTTGGTTCTGTTAGAAAATAATACAAAACCAAATTTCTTTTTTCTTTCACTGTGTTTTGTCTAATCCATATCTAAATGTGAACAGTTAATTTTTTGTTTGTCTTTCAACTTCCATTATTGCCTGGTTGATTAGTACCAGGATCAAAAAGGAAAAAGAGGCCCACCACAGATTACTCACTAATTTCCTTTCACACTCACCACACATATGCATTTGGGACAACAGGAAATCATAATTAAAACAAAATCCTTCTGCCACACAGTTAAGTTTATTCCTAGAATAAACAAAAACAATCTGGCATCTATACTGGAAAAACATGCTATACTGTTGCTTTTTTCTTTCATTAAGTAAAGGGGTGTGTGTGTATGTGTCTGTCTGTCTGTGTGTATGTGTGTGTCTGTGTCTGTGTCTGTGTCTGTGTTTTCTTCATTAAGCATGGCCCAGTGTCTTCTGGAAAGATTTCTTTACATCTCTTTTAGGTGAAGATTTATTACTCAGAAAAATACAGACTGATACTACTGATTAAATAAAGCAAAGAACATTTGGCTACTCTGGGAATTTGGCTCTGTGATTCTTCTAAATTTGCCCTCCCTCTCTAATGCACCCTTAGGAGTCTTGATCCATTTGAGTTTTAGTGATATGTGTTGAGGCTCAGTGGTTAAAGAGAAGCTTACAATGCCTGGACCATGCTAAGATAAAGAGAGGTCAGTTCAGTGTAGTATTCTCTTGGATCAGCCAGATTGAGTTAAAACAACGAAGCTTTTGAACTGCTCAGATATTACTAGGTGAGCATCTGTGGGAATCTGTGACATTCTTCCATTTGATTTTTACACAGGGCTTTGTATGCAGTGAGCCTTGGAGTTAGGGTTTGATTGCATATAGCTTCAAGTTCCACAATACCAGAGACTTACAAAAGGAACACTGTCTACAGTCCCAGTCCCATCCGTCCTCTTGACATCTAAACACTTGATCAGGATAATCTCTGTTGTACTTAATCACTGTGTACATCCACTTAGACCGACTCATTTGAAAATGTCAGTAGGAATATGACTTAGGAAAACTATAGGACTTAGCTAATTGTCTGTAAGCATGGATAAAAAAACATGATATAATTGCCACAGAAAGAGATGTAATCTTAAGATGTGGCTAAAACCACACAAGAAGTGTCAGCTCAGTATGACTCATATTTCCATATTCTATGATCATAGTATAGTTAGAAAAGTTAGTTTCATTCTTAGAACTTCAGTTTTAGAAGAACTCAGATAAAAGATGGCACATTTTGAGAATAAAAAGGATGGAGAAGGTTGGACTCAAGGAACAATTGAAGGAATCAGTGATATTTAGTCTAAGACAAGATTTACAAGCTCTGAACTGAAGGAAAAAAAGCAAAAGCGTATATTCAAATAATTGTATAGTTTGACTCATTCTATTTGACCTGCACTAAATGTATCTTAGTGAACTTTTATGATCTCCATTAGTGGAAGGTAAAACTTTCCAGAAGTTAAGATGAAAACTGGCTACTGTTTAAGAAAGTGGTTTAAGTGGAGTTTGCACGGGTTCTTGAATAGGCAGATGAACAGTTCCACTAGATGGTTATTACTACTCCCTCTGACCAGACACTTATATGATAATAGCCTGAAAATCATCCTTTATGTAATATCAGATTGCCTATATTAAAGATTGTTTCATTGTCATTGTGGCTTGGTAGTATGCATAGTAACTCATTAAGAGTAAGGCCTAGACTGTCAGCTATTCACACAGAAAGGCATCGAGTGAGTTGTGGTTTGGCCACTCATGGCTTAGCTGCCTGTAATCTAACCAAAATTGCTGCTAGGTTATGCTACACTAACCTCCCATTTGGTGTTTAACTCTCTACTTGGTGCAGCTGCAAATGGTTTCAGCCTACCCCCAAAGGATAACCTACTAGAGTTATGACAAAGCATGAGAGTTTCTTGCTTGGTATTCCCAGGATATATAAATGACCTTTTTAATCCTGTCCAAATATCAGCCTTTATGCTATTTTGAAAGACAAATCTGTCATCCTAGTTTTTAGTAATACCAGGTAACCTATTTGTCTTACTAGTCACATTGTGAGAATAATGTCACCACCCATCTCTCTCCAATATTAAAACGTTGAACTAGGCAATGGTGGCTTATGTCTGTTAATTCTAACTAATCAGGAGGCTGAGATCTAAGGTTCAAAGCCAGCCTTGGCAGGAAAGTTCCTCAGACTCCTATTTCCAATTAACTGGCAAAAGCCCAGTAGTGGAGATATGGTGAAGGTGATAGAGCCCTAGCTTTGAGCAAAATCAAGTGAGAATTTGAATTCAAACCCCAATACTGGCACAAAAATAAATAAATAGCCAATGAATATTAACCAGTTTTTAAAAGAATGCTAACAAATATTTGGCCCTGTGACTACAATTGACTGCAGTCCAGCTTTAGTAACACAATCCTTCTGAAAGTTTGAAAACTATATTTTGTCGTCACACACACTGAACTTAGAAGCTACACTGTGCAGAGGGGACCTATATGAATAATCTTCATGTGCCTCCCTGGCTGTTGCTGCCCTATCAATCCTTATTTTCCCTCTCTCCCTCCAGTTTGGTTGCATTACATTGGACTGAGTAAGGTGAGATTTGTAAGCATTTCCATTACTATGTGTTACTGCCAAGGCTTTTTAGAATGAGATCAAGTTGAAATCAAAAGTGACAACTGGCCTCAGGTTTGGATTATAGTAGAATTGCATCACTCTTTGGATCCTGGCTTCTTTGACACTCCGGTGTAATCATTTCCCCTCCTAACTTCCCCTGATCCTCCGTGTTGATGATTTTGCAGCATCCTGTGTACTGTGTAAATGTCGTTGGGACCCAGAATGCTCACAACCTCATCACTGTCTCCACCGATGGTAAAATGTGTTCCTGGAGCCTGGACATGCTTTCAACTCCTCAGGTAAGTCTACTTTGCCTTATACCACAGGACAACCTGGCTAGAAGAAAGACCTACTTCACAGAACGTAGTTCCAAAAGTATAGGAGGTGAAATCAGTGGATGCCCATGAAAGAGGGAGCCTCGTTTCAGCAGTCTCTTCTAGAAGCCAAAACTCATTTCCCTTACCACAAATCTTGTGATTATTATAATAGGCTAAAGCTCAGGTCACTTTCAAGTGAAGATGAATAACCCATTTTAAAGTTCAGTAATTATGGAAGCTGCCTTTGGTATGAATTATACTGGCTCATCAACATGGTGAAACAAATATGCATGAGGGTGAAGCTCTGCAGAGCCATCCATTATGGATGCGAGCTCTGAAGAAAAGGTACGCAGAAATTCCAGTTCTTGCTTGTTTCTGTACCCTACATAACCACCTGTGTATATGAAGAATTTGTTCAACCATCTGTTTTCCACTCTGGAATGTTTGTTAGTATGGTTCTTGCCTTTTTTTTCCTTAACAAATGAGAATTTGAAAATGAAAATGTTTCAGTGTTTCCAAACCACTACTGATTGCAGTAATAGAAACCAAACAAAGGAACAGGAGTGGGAAAAACTGCTGGAGGCAGGCGTTTACATGCAAGTTTCAGAATGTACACATGTGTACATGCGTACCCAGACACCTACACGCATGCATCTACCACGTACTTTTTTCACATTTCTTTGTATGAAGTCTATTGTTACAGCTTTTGACAAAGTACATGAAAAACACCAAGAAATTTAAAAATATCTAGGAGTAGTTTTTTTTTTTTTCATTTCAACATCCCTGTTCCTTTTCCTGGAATAGTACTCTAGAATGTCTCTCACTCAATTTTAGAAGACAATAAAGTTCCAAAATGCAAAAGGAAATGTGGGAGCTGGAAAGAACCTCTTTAAGTCTCTATGCTGTAGAGCGTTCTGAAATTAAGTCAGTTCTTTATAGAATTTTAGGGGGGGAGAGAGAGAATGCTAATAAGCTGCTTAAATTTAAGTTCCTGGTTTTGCTGATTTTTAATGTTAGACAGGTCTGGAACTGTGTGTGGATATTTTATGGTTTTGTCTTATATTTCTCAGCAATGTATTGTTTTCTTTTAAAAAGCATGGAGATTATAAACAGATATAAGAGCAAACCCTCAATTTAGAAATTTTTAATTACCTATTTCACTGATTAAACATGTGTTTGTTTAGGTTAAGATGGTGGTGCAGGAGCTCCAAGATCATTTTTATTAGTGCTAGCTTGCCCACAGACGCCTGTCTCTGCACAGAGATTAAGAATTTCATGGCATGGTCTCTATGGATGGCAGGGCAGAATAGGAGCATCCTAGAATTACTCTCGTTTCTTTCTCTCTCGAAGTGGTCAAACAAGAGACATTACCATCCTTGTTCCTAACTTTTGAGATGGAGTAGACCATCTAGCTAATGCTGCTGTTGGTAGTGTATTGCCACAGCATCCTCTCCTTTAGCTTAATGGGCTCACTACTACATGTAGATCTTATAAATAAGGAACATTCAAAACCCTCATGGTCAGCATGGCTACATACTGTAGGCATGAGTTTTCAAGTCACAGACTCCCTGGTTGAAATGGCCTGATCTGCTTGCACTGAAAGACTACAATCCCATGAAACTACAATGGGAATATAGTGTACCTCAAGTGGTAGAGTGGTTGCCTAACAAGTATGAGACCTTAGCTTCCATCACCAGAAGTGCGCATGCACACGTGCGCACACACACACACACACACACACACACACACACACACACACACACACACACACACACACATACATTACAATGATATCCCAGACTGATTTCTTAATTAGAGTTAGATACACAGAATTCTCTACTTAATGCCAGGAATATTCAGGTATATTGCTCGTACTTAACTATGCTTCATTTAGCAGTGTGTCTTTTGAAATACCATCGAATTCTCAATTTAACAACCCATTTTTATATAAAATTAAAGATTTTTATTTACTATGTTTAATGCATATTTAAACATCACTCAGCAGATCTAGATCCCACACACCACCAGCTGCCCTTCCTGACATCTAGTTCCTGTTGAAATCTATTTTTTATGACCTGGGTGACAATTTTCTGGTTTCAGTCCACAGAAGACCTACAGTCATGCTTTGACAAGTGTGCTTAGTACATCTGATATTAATACATGTGTATTCTCATGAACAATTGATTTTGAAAATGTTTGTAAATACAAGGGTATTGTGTGTTTTATTAAAGCCCAGAGCTGACAAGTGTAATCATTACAGTATTATCTTTAGTTTCTGCACCATTAGTTTCAAAACTCTCACCTGTCATCTCTGCCTGACTTAGGAAGCAGCAGCACAGGCTGATGAAATCCAGCTTGCCTGAAACCAAAGATACACAGCAGCATGAATGTCAGGGGCAGTAAAGCGTGGTTTCTGGCACTACCGGGGCCTTTTGTAACGCTGTGTGAAAAGCAAACAGATGATTTAGCCAAATGATTTTTCCATGCTATCTTTGGCATAGTGAGGAGTTGACAGATGGAAATGTAACCACACCATGTTTTGGTAGGAGAGCATGGAGTTGGTGTACAACAAGTCCAAGTCCGTTGCTGTTACCGGAATGGCTTTCCCGACCGGGGACGTCAATAACTTCGTGGTTGGCAGCGAGGAGGGTACAGTCTACACGGCTTGTCGTCATGGAAGGTGATTTTCTGTTTTCTTACCAATGACATTTTCCTCATTTCTGAATGACTACTATCACGTTCTAGAGTCTAACCAAAAGGTATTTCTGAAGACATAAAAAGCCTAACTTCACATCTTAATGAACTTAAAGAACACATCTGCTCTGGTCTTCAGCCATTTATATGAGCCTTGGAGGCTCATCAGTGCTTGTCTGAAGGAAATGTTCAGCATTTTAACAGATCCTATAAGACTGCCTGTCCCTTCTCAGCCACATCTTATGTAGATACTTGCAATCCTCAGTCTCACATGTACCAGGATAACAATCCCCATATATTGTCTGTCCCTCCCTCCATGCCTTCATGAATTTCTACCTTCTAGTTCTAGTCTCTAATGGAAACCTGTTCTAACATTTCTCTTGGCCTGGTTAATTCCTCCTCACCAATAAAGTGTCTGTGCAGAGATCATAGCATGTTGAAGCCTCTCTGACTCTCCTGAGCAAAGAAAGCCACTCTTTCCTCTTTGTCTTGTTGAATTTCATCTCTTTCATTCATTCTTTTAAGGAATGTTTAGTAAGAACCTACTCTGTCGTAAAAATATAATAAGGAACATGACAGATATTGAAGTCAATTTGTAGTTGAGGATAGAGGACTAAGGAAGTAAATATTTGATTTAAACGAAGCAAACTATCAAGAAAATTTAAGGAGAATAATCAGAGGAGGATTCAAAGCCATGGATACTTCATTTATTCTTCTTTTGCTTTCTATAGTAGCAGTGATCACATTTATTTCCATTATTCATTCATCTGCCACTTTTCCTTCCAAAACTATTCCATTTCATCTTCAATTTTCTGCCAAGTGCCAGGCACTAGTAAGCAAAAAGTGATAAATGCATATAAGAAATAAAGAAATGGCAATATTTAAGAAATAAAGAAATGGCAATATCTAAGTTATAGACAGAAGTTCTTGAAGACCCTTCCTATTGTAAGAGAGACATAAAACACTATTTCGTTTGCTAAAGATTAGAACACCATTTTGATAAAGAGGTTGGCAAATGTTCTTGAAAAAACACAGCTATTTGATTATAGTGGGTTCCAATAATTCACACTATATGGCAAAATTACATGCACGACTCAACATATGGCCTTCTGTCCTTTAATAGGATCATCCTGTCCACACTGGTGCTTATAATTTCATTTTTACTTTCATAGTTCTTATCCATTACCCTTTTCACCGCTTACATTTATCCCAGCCTACTTAGATATAATGTGGAACCACAGCTTTTTGGAAGCTCAGACTCTTATGCTTTAGTGACTTGTACAGGTTACAAGTATCTTTGACTCACCTGATTTTCCCCCACTTAAATAATATATGCTGTGATGTTTCTGCTGTTCTGGTTTCTAAATAAGCAAATCCCCCCCACACACATGCATACACATGATATAAAGATGGCTTCACAGTTTCATGTCTCACCTCCTTATTACAAAAATCTGGCTAAAATTACAATGTAGAGTTGATATTGATTCACATGATGTTTTCTGTGCACCTGCTTGGTCAGGGTAAATTTCTAGATGTTCTGAGTCATTCAGATGTCCTTTAAATCTGTTCAGGAAACAGATGAAATAAGATCAAAAATTTAAAAACAACAACAACTGGTACCCAGGTAAAATGAGTGACACATGAGGCACAGAAAGTTTGGGGTGGGCCAAATGAAAGCAGAAGTTCAACTGATTTAATCCATGTTATTATGTGGGCCCTTAGCCATCTGTGGAATCTATAGGATGTACTCATTGATGCTTTTTAGATTTTGTAAAGTTTGTCTAAAGCTGGGCACTCGAGACTCACACCTGTAATCCAGCTACTCAGGAGTCTGAGGGTCATGGTTTGAAGCCAGCTTAGGAAGGAAAGTTTATGAGATTCTAACCTCCAATTAACCATCAAAAATCTGGAAGTGGAGCTGTGATTTAAAGAGAAGAATGCCAGCCTTGAGCAAAAACACTTAAGAGACAATGTTTAGACCCTGAGTTCAAGCCTCACTACTAGCATGCACACACACACACACACACACACACACACACACACACACACACACACACACACACACACACATGCATGCACAAAAGTTTTAGTTCTTGTAAACAAACTTCTACATGATGAATATTTTTATTTTGTGGCTTTTGTCCTTTTCAAGCACTACCAGAATAAACTGTTGTATCCCTGGGGCATACAGCACAAATCTCTTCACTGAGAACTTGTTTTTGCCTTTTACATTGATCATCCATCTTAGATATGAGATATAGCTCTCAGCAAAGTTATAAAGAATCAGGCATCCAAATGGGTTATTTTAAATGGGTTATCTAGGACTACAGGAGAGAGAAAGGGAATTCTATCTTTTTTTTTTACCTAACATAGAGAAGGTGCAAATCCACTTCCATAAATTAAACAAGGTCCTTATTTTGCACCTTATAAACCCTTTCAGGATGGTGTTAAGACCAAGTAGAGTCTCACCAGGGGCCACTTCAAAGATCAGTTTCTCATGTTCATTAGAACAAACTTAAATGATCACAGGTGGAAATGCTGTTAGCAGTTTCCCTGGGCATAATATTTGAGTGCCTGTTACATGGAACACACTCTGAAGTATTTTACTCAAGATTTCAAGTTTTGCTGAGCACATTGACATTTATTGGTGCTCTAGGGGGCCCAAATGTTTTAATAACTGGATTCATTTTTACTCCTGGAAACATAATATTAAAATCCCACATTATTTAAAAATTTGTCATATTAATTGCCTCATGCACATGAATTTCTAAATATGGTTTTTGGAATATATTTTCTGAATTGTGTATAATTACATGCATTATACTATCTGATAGAGGGTTGGCATAATCCCATTTTTGTTAAAGTGACTCTTCTCAAATGTGTATGCCTATGCCTCCAATGTGCTTTTGCTTTTTAAAAGAGAACTTAGGTCTCTCTTTTTCTTTGCTGTTTCATTCAGCCAGTGTTTACTGTAGACTAAGTTTATACGAGATGCTTAGCAACAAGAGAGACATGGTATCTTCCCCTTTGTGGAATTTGTAAATGGATTTGTAAACCTCTCTTCTGTTTCCAGGAAAGTGAAAAATATCATTTTTATATGTAAATTACGTGTCCTATTCCAGGCTAACAGTAATTTCTATGAATTTACATTTTAAGATACTGATTTTCAATGAATGTAAGATATTACTCTGAAAGAATGAAAAATTATCTCTCCAGACATGTATGGAGTTTTAGAACCAATAATTCATCTCAAAGGAGTTAAAATGGAACATGTATATGTACAAATGCTATTTGGGAACAAAAGCCTCAAAAGCTTCTGAGAAACAAGTGTGTTTTTTTCATCAAAATAGTTCACACCTGTAGTACGAGCTATTCAGGAGGCTGAAAAGATCACAGTTCAAAGCCAGCAGGGCAGAAACATCTGTGAGACTCTTATCTTCCATAAACCACCAAAAAGCCAGAAGTGATGGTGTGGCTCAAGTGGTACAGTGCTAGTCTTGAGTAATAAAAGCTCAACGACAGTACTCAGGCCCTGAATTCAAGTTCTAAAAACAACACATACATGTGCTTACAATTTCTTGCTCTCAAGAGAATGGTTTTATTCTGGCAATATGTGGTTATTGTTCTAAATTATGGGAAAGTAATTCTATCGAACTGAGGTGTTTTTTTAAACAAGTCACTGATTTTGGAAGGTCACTGAAATTCTGCTCACATGTGCTCTTCCTACAGCAAGGCAGGCATTGGTGAGGTCTTCGAAGGTCATCAAGGGCCAGTGACGGGAATTAACTGCCACATGGCAGTGGGCCCCATCGACTTTTCTCACCTGTTTGTCACATCATCATTTGACTGGACTGTCAAACTCTGGACTACAAAGGTAAGAAGAGCTTGACTAAAATTCTCAGGTAATATGTAAAGAAAGAGGATGGCTTTTTCTTCCATGATACAGTTGTAACTAAAGCCTCCTATACCCTATACGTAGTATTGGGTATGGATTTATACTCCAGAGCTAGTTAATGATTACCTTCTCAATCTATTTTACTTATTTTTAAATGTTGACTTAATGCTTGAAAACAGTCTAACCTTAAAAATATTAAGTGATTCAAATAATGATAAAATTCAAGGTATCTTTCACCAACGCTAAGTCCATATACATGAATTGAATCATCTTTACCTAGACCTTGATAGCATCTATTTGTACATACACTATGGGAATATAGGTTTATGTTTTGAGTCATCTGTTTTATTATTTTGTTGTTTGGTTTGTTTTGCAGCTTTGGAAGTTTTTAAGTGAGTATCTGTCCCTATATTGTTTATGTGTTAAAGAGAAATTTATTAGGTAGCCTATGGAAGGAATGGTAGTGGCATTGACCAGTAATTTGGAATGGAAAAAAGTCAATGGATGTGGTGAATATTTAGATAAAAGTCTCAGAAATTGGTGACTGGTTTGATGAGACACAGAAAGAAAGAGAGCCATCAGCATATATAGCCAGGTACATGACCTGGGCAGCTTTCCTTGCCTAAGAGAAGAATGGATATGTTGGAGAAGATCTTTGCACATGTTGAGTTTTAGGTGTCTGCAAGGTGCATTCCATACTCTACAGAAGGCAGTTTGCAGGCAATAGGAGATGTAGCTATCTTAATTAAGTGATAACAATGGTTCTCAAAGCCAAGTTCAAACTGTGGGCATGTCTATAGGATATATAATTTCATTTCTACAATAAAATATTTAAAACATCAAATGAAAGTAGAAACTACCTATCAAAAGGAATAAAAGCTGAGATATTTCTTTTTTTATTGTGCAAAAACTGTACAGAGGGGTTACAATTACATGGGCAAGATAATGAGTACATTTCTTATCAAGCATTGTAGCCTCCTCCTTTGTTTCCCCTTCCCATCCCTTTCAAGCCTCCCCCCCCACCTAATCCTCCCCCCACCCCAAAGCTGAGATATTTCAAAGTCTCAAAATATAAATTTTATGTATAAATGATCAGCTAATTTAAAAAGCTTAGACAAGTACTTGTACAACAGAGAAATACTATAGACAAGTCTTTGTCTATTGACGATTTTTATAAATTATCATTTTAGGTTTGAGAATGATGTTATGATCGTTTTAGGTGCTTTTCTTTTTTAGGGAGATGGATTCTTATTGAAATATTTGCAATAAATATACTGATACCAAAGATTTGCTTAAAATGAGCAGTTTCAAATGGGCAGAACTTGGATATAGATGATGTGTTGATAATTATTGTAAGGTGATTTTTAATATATCTTAAATCATCTGCAATAAAAAAGCTAAGAAAAATCACAAAAAAGAATAAAAATGACCAATAGTTCAAAAATGAAATATATCCATTTTATTTCTTACCTCAGAAGCCAGTGGTACTCATGACAGATGGAAGATACTACAGATATGACATAAATTATAATGGGTCAAGAAGTAAGGGGAACATGAGAAAGGCAATGAGGAAAAATCATAAATTTGTTTTCTGTGCTTCTTTTTAAAATTGTAGAGACTCTTGAGAACATTGTTGTTACAGAAAAACCAGTAAAAAAAAAAATGAGAGTGGAAAATCAACAAATAGAAAGTAGAAAGAGGCCATTAAAATGTTGTTTTGAATGGGATCCATGACATAGGCAGGGGAAATGAACTTCAAATTTGAGCAGTGACATTTCCTCTGTCTTAACAGGAGAGCAGCAAAAGAAAGAGACAAATATGTATAAGTGTACAGTTTAGTGAACCAAAGTGAAACAAATTCTGATGATGGCTGTTTTCTGAACAAAGTAAAGAGAGTCAATATTATATTAAATGGAAGCTGGATACAGTGAAGGGAACAAAGTTCAGCTTGAACAGAGGAGAGTAAGAAGAAATCCTGGCCATATCCTAGCCATGGGGTTTAGTGAACAAAATGTTTTAGTAGCTCCAATTTTCAGGGCTGCTTTCTTCCAAGGGAGGTCAGTACTACAAAGGTGACATGGACAAGGCGGGGACAGTTATGTGAATGTGAGGCTGCAGCCTGGTCACTGTGTGATCCAAAGACAACAGAGCATGGAAACTAGACAAGAAAACATTTGATGTAATAAGCTGAAGCAGCAAGGAAATGAAGGCAGGCAAGAGAAAGTAAAGGGACCAAAGGATTGGAGGTCTCCATAAAATCAAAGAGCAGGCATGAAGGAAATAATTGAACAAAAGAATTAGTAAAAGAAGAGATGATTGTTAGGAAGAAAAATACTTACATTTGGTATTTTACAACTATCATACTTGGAAGAATGAGGAAGAGGAGGAACTAAAGGAGGAGGTCATTGTCAAGATTGTGGCCCCATGTCAGCTGATATCTAATGAAGGTGAAATTCACTGGAATTATGGAGATCATAAAGACAAAAGGTCAAGGCTTTGGAGCAGACAAGAATAATGGCCATCCTAAGTGTGATGGCTAATCTTGATTGAACTGAGGCATACCTAGGAGATTAGTAAAACATACTTCTGGGTATATCAATAGTGGTGGTTTCCAGAGAGGATAAACTAAAGGGGGAATGCAGGTAGTACTGTTGAAGGGCGAGAAAACAGAGAAGCCACATTTTGAGAGGTCAAACCTTGGAGTCTTTATTAAAAGGCTGGCAACTGCCTGGTGGACTTCTGTCTCAAAGACCAGCAGCCAGCAAATATACTTAACATTGTTAGAAAACTGAGCCATGAATGCCAAAGATAAAAGAAAGAACAAAAACTGTATCAACAAACTAATTCAACTCCAGTGGAGAGCTGGATTGGGATGCCATGGTGACCAGAGAAGAGCCAGGAGACAGGAGACAGGACACTAACGCAGAGACAGGTGGCATGGCATAATGGCACCTGAGCTAGTCGGGCCCTAAGTAGGGTCAGGTCAGGGGGCAGAGTCATGGGAAACTCCGAGTCCCAGGCACTAGACTAACAGGTTTAGTAACCTATCAGCCAAGTGCCTGCCCCTGCTCCCAGGAATTTAGGCATGCCCATCACCTGGGAGGTGGGGCTTCATCTTCCCCCACCAAGAAGACAAGATCCCAGACCCTACCATCTAAGATGGTAGGCCAAGATGGACAAGATGGTTCAGGCTGGACCCGAACTACTTATTTCAGGACCATCCCATAACTGGGGCCCCCACTGGAATAAAAGAGGGAAAAGGAGGACGCCCATGAGCTGAGCTCAACCTCCTCTCTGCTTTGTGCTTCCATAATGTGAGCTGTTCTTTTCCACCCACATTCCACCGTGATGGGTTGAAATACCTGAAGCCATGAGTCCCAATAAAAATTTCCATCATGAAACCATTTCTCTCAAGTATTGTCACAGTGGCACAGAAACAAATGTACTGGGACACTGGGCACAGTGTTGAGGTATTCAGAAAAGTCTGGAGGAGATTGGAAGAGTTAAAGGATTGATAGAGCCAGATTTCTGAGCTTAAAAGAAGCAGAACTTTTTCCTGGAGTTCAGGAACAGTAAAGTAACCCCAAAAGCAAGTAAGAAGCTGACCCACTCACTATTTTGAAACAACTACATGAGTAGCTTCTACTTGAGAGTCAGCTTCTTAGCTAACCTGGGAGGGAGGTGAAAAGCTTCAGGCAGGTAGTAGGGAGAGCTACCAACAGGTAAAAAGCTTTTCCTATGGAATGAAAGACCAGGGGTTAGGAGGGCATGGTGGAAACATCCAGCAAAGAAGGATCTATGAATAGTTTGTCCCAGTGAAACAAGTACTGATAGAAATTTCTAGAAAGTTCCCAAAGACTGTACCAAGAATGAAGAAGAAAGTTTCCAAAAAGAAAAGCAGGGGTGGGGGGAGAGGTCTGGAGTTGAGAATAGGAATTGTAGCAGAACATAGGCAGCCTGAAGGAAGAGAGGATTAAAACACATCACACATTACACGTTCTAAGTTCACCCCACCCACCCTCGACCACACGGAGTTTCATCATGAAACCGCTGTCAGGGAGGACTTCACTTTGAAGCAGAAACTTTGTTGGAGTGGTTTTCCTGGCAAACAGAGAGACAGGCTGCGTTCCAGGCAGCTGAGTCAACAGATACATAAGCCACCATTTCCATCCAAATGGCTAGAGGGAAGGGATACAGTCAGGAGATGAGGCTGGATGGATAAGTCTATATTTGATTTTGCAGTTTGATATTTTATGGGTAATGGAGAATCACTTTAAGATGGTATCAAAATTTAATTTTAAAAAGTGTGATTGCAATACTATGAAAGACAAATTTTTATGGACAACCTATGCCAACATGTATTGAGCTCCTACTGCATACCAAGCATCATCCTAAAGGCTTAAAATATATTGGTCCAAGCCAGAAGCTGGTGGCTTACATCTGTAATCCTAGCTACTCAGGAGACTGATATCTGAGGATCATGGTTCAAAGCTAGCCCATGCAGGAAAATGCATGAGATTCTTATTTCCACCATGAGATTTCTTATTAACCACCAGAAAACCAGATATGGCACTGTGGCTCAAAGTGGTAGAGCATTATTCTTGAGCAAAAGAGCTCAGGGACAGTGCCCAAGCCCTGAGTTCAAGACCCACTACTGACTATATATATAGATAGATATTTATATATAGTTACATAGATAGTTACATTTAGATAGATATGCCAAATATATGTATAAAAACATATATTTTGTATATATACAAAAATGTATATAGAGATATAGATATAGATATAGATAGATCGGTAGGCAGATAGATATGTCCACTAAATCCTCAGAATAAACCTATGAGTAGATAGTCCATAGAATATGAAATAAGCATGTTTGGATGGTGTGTAAGAGAAGATTCATTTTGTATGACCTCAAAGCTTTAGTTCTTGGGACTAGAGATTTGAATTGAGAAAAAGTGCTTGCCTGGTATGTA